CTGTTCATCACATTGAAGATCTCCTGCCATTCCTTTCTGGCCTGCCACGTTTCAGTAGATAGGTCTGTCACCACTCTGATAGGTTTCCCTTTGTATATTAGGGCCCTTTTCTCCCTAGCTGCTTTCAAAATTCTCTCTTTGTCCTCGTATTTTGCCATTTTTACTATGCTATGCCTTGCAGAAGGTCGATTCAGATTACGTCTGAGGGGGGTCCTCTGAGCCTCTTGTATTTCAACGTTTACTTCTTTTCCCAGGTCGGGGAAGTTCTCTGCTATGATTTGTTCCAGGACTCCTTCAGCACCTTTCCCCCTCTCTTCCTCTTCTGGGATTCCTACGATACGGATATTGTTGGGTTTGACCGTGTCTCTGAGCTATCAAACTCTTCTTTCATGTTCCTGGATCAGTTGTCTCTTTTTTTGTCAGCTTCTTGTTTTTCTATAATGGTGTCTTCTAAATCACTTATTCTCCTTTCTGCCTCTTCAATCCGTGCATTGGAGGCCTCTCATTTATTATGTATCTCATTTATCGCATTTTTAAATTCTTCATGCCTATTTTTATTTTCCATTCTGTCTGTAGCCATAGTTTCTTTGATGTCCCCTATGTTTTTTTCAAACCCAGCTATTAATTTTACCATTATTATTCTAAAATCTTGTTCACTTATGCTGCTGATATCTGTTTTGAGCAGTTCATTAGCTGTCATTTCTTCTTGGAGTTTCTTTGGAGGAGAGTTCTTTCGTTTCGTCATTTTAGTTAGCTTCCCGGCTCTTGTTGGTTTTAAAGACCTGTTATCTCTCTGTATCTATGAGCACTGCTATATCCAAGAGGACTCTTTGTCCAGAGCCTATCCTTTCAGAGAGTGTTTTTTTGAATGGTATCTCTTGGTCTCTTGTTGGGACCTTGGTTATTTTATTTTCCTATTCGTAGTGATATTCGGACTCTCCACCCTGTGTACTCTGGCTTGTTTCTTGAGGTAGCCGTTAGAAGGCTTTCTCAGTGGAGTCTGCATCCTTTCTCTCCCAATCTCTTGAGTGTGGTACGGTTTCTGATGGCTTCAGATCTTTTCCGTGTGATGCCTGGGCGCTAGTGCAGGTACGGAGCTCCCTACTTATCCGCCATCTTTCCCCTCCCTCCAAAGAAGTAGAAATTGATAATATTTAAACAAAATTTTGTTAAATGTGAAAAACGACAGGTCTTAAAAGCTGAAGGGCAGTAGGTTTCTGTATATAAACATTTGTCTTTGCGTCTTCTAGTTAACAAAATAATTGTAAATTGAATTTCCAAGTTTACAGTGACATAGATTTGTAGTAGATGCCTCTGGTGTCCCATATAGCTTACCCTTGGTCTTCAACTGTGGTGGACAAACCCTGTGAGCTCAGAGGAACCCAGCCCTTAAAAAGTCCCACAGTGCTTCTCTCTTTTCTGCTCTGCACCTTTCTCCAGCACTGCTGGAACCCACTAAGGATACCCCCTTATTCAGTGCCTAAGTGAAAACTAGAGGTACAGGTTCTTAACAACTCTGAGTTAATTGGGGATTCTAGCTGATGCATAAAATGTCTTTGCCTCCTGTCTTTTAGGTGCACAATTCCAAAGGCTTTCTGTATGCTTCTCGTACCCATAGCAGCAAATTCAATAATGCCATCTGTATTACCACTTTTTCCTCCCTGGGTTCATTCTCCCTATTCCCTCACTCGTGTTCCCTAGGATTCACTCCCAAATAAACTGCTTTGTCCCAAAAACCCAGGTCTTGGTCCTACATTGTATCTTCTGTAGAATCCAAACTGAAAAGAAATTTGGGGGGCACCTGGGTGGCTCGATCAATTAAGTGTCTGATTCTTGATTTCAGCTCAGGTTATAATCTCACAGTTTGTGAGATCGAGCCCTGCATTGGGCTCTGTGCTGATAGCTTGGAGCCCACTTGGGGTTCTCTCTTCCTCTCTCTCTGCCTCTCCCCGACTTGTATACGCGCACTAGTTCACCTTCTATCTCAATAAACTTAACAACGACAAAAAGGAAATCTGTTTAAATATGTTAAACATAGCTGTTCCCAGATATATTTTACTGTACAACTTTTGTTTGAATGATTCCTGTTATCAGCAAATGTAGTAATTTTATGTATTTATGATATGTATATTATATAGGACAGTGAAACTTATGTGTTCAAACAGAAGTCCTTTTAGAATTGAAGACATCCATCCAACAAAAGATAAAGCACCTTTAAAATTATACTGTGCCTCAGTGAACCATTTAATATCAAGTCTGATGAGTAAAGAGTGTTAGGAACTATCAGTTTTTTAAAAATGTATCATTAATCAAAATATTTGTTTTAAAGAGTTCCTATAGTTCTATTTAGAGAGTTGGTAAATAATTACATCTGAAAGATGTTACTAAAACTCAGGAGTTTTTCTTTGAGAATTTAGGAAATATGTTTGCCTGCTTGTTTTTAGTGGACAGTTATTGCCAATCTACCGTATAACAAATTGGGATCTCTGTCACCTCACAGATATTACCAATTAATGAAAATACTGTTCTGTAAGAACATAACTTCCAAGAGGAAAACTTTTCATCCCTTTTGGGTTTACAGTTGGTATTCACACCAAGAATGAGACTGTGGTATATACTCCTTTTAACAGTGTAGGTGAGCAGGTTTGTTCCTTTTTTGCTATTTCTTAATTTGGTCAAACTAGAGGGCTAATAGTTTGATTTTCAACTCAGTCCTTGTTGGACTGTGTGCTTAAAATAATAAAGTTTTTCAGATTTTGACTAAGTAAGTCTTGATATATTTGAACTGTTATAATACACTTCTTAAATACTAGAATCCAGTAGTCTCACCTTGAGAGAGAATTTGAGTATAATTATCATCTTCAAATTTGGTTGTCTTATTTATGTTTTTAAGCCTACTCTGCCAAACAGTTGCCTACATTTGAACATGAGGCAAGAAGACCTAAATCTTAGGACTAAGGACATTGAGTGAAGCTACTTTGATAATTTTTTTTACTCTCTTACCCTTACAATTATGCTAATGTCATCTATTTGGCCATAACATCCTCGTTCCATTCTTTATCAGAACTCACATTGCTGTTTCAGATTTCATATTAAAAGTGAGGACTTATTTAATGTTTTCAAAATGATAGCAGTCAGGGGTGCCTAGGTGCTTCAGTAGGCTAAGCATCCAACTCTTGATTTTGGCTCAGGTCGTGATCTCACAGTTGTGAAATTGAGACCCACCTCTGCTTGCTCTCTTTCTCTCTCTTAAAAAAAAATTAAAAAGGTAGTAGCCAATAGTGGCTCAATAATATACTTAGCTAATGGGGTGCCTGAGTGGCTCAGTTGGCAACATCAGTCTTTTAATTTTGGCTCAGGTCATAATCTCACAGTTTGTGAATTAGAGCTCTATGTGGGCTCTGTGCTGACAGTGTGGAGCCTGCTTGAGATTCTCTCCCTGTCTCTCTCTGTCCTTCCCCTTGCTCATGCTTGTTTACTCTCTCTCAAAATAAATAAACTTAAAATATATATAGTCAGCTTATAATGTTTATTCAGAACATTTTGTAAAGACTTAAAACTTCTAGCAACATTTTTTCCCTAGGATTATAATTTTTTAAAGTAAAATATGCCTAGAGCACATCCAGGTGAGAAAGTAAAAATATTTAACTTGCTAATTTTTGGTGCCATCTCTCCAGCCCCCTTTTAACATAGGAAACTGATCAATGTGTAGAATTCCAAGAAAATAACATGCAAGAAGCAGGCCTAAGTAACTTTATTCTGTGCTGTAATGTCAAATTGCCCAAGGGTACCAGGATAATTGTTTGAATGCCGAGTCATAATTGCCCCCACCAGTGTGTTTTTGGTTTATAAACTGATAACTCCTACTTACTCCTACCTACTTAGTTTCATTTCAGTTTCACTAAATCCATCTGTTTCAATTGGTGAAAATTTATTTGGTTATCAAATCATCATAGTTAAAATGATGTGTCAGTTTGCATAAAGGAGTTTTTAAAATTATAATTTAAACTTGATGCAACTTCATAATTTTGCTTATATTCATCTTTAAGTAATTTTAGATTATGCAGAAACTTTTAAAAGTCTGAGACATTTTTAAGTGAATTTAACTTAATTCATCTTTTCCCTTGTTTTTAGTGGGAGATTTTGATAAGATCTGGCGAGAACATTGTGAGGATGAGGAAACACTTTGTGAATATGCTGTTGCAATGAAAAATTTGGCAGATAACCATTGGGCAAAAACTTGTGAGGGCGAAGGTCGTATTGAATGGTGTTGTAGGTGAGTGTTTTTATGAACTAACATTTTTGGTTTCTACTATGTTGTTTAAAATCTTAAATCCAAGTAATGCTTTGTATAATTTACTGTACGAAAATAGGACTGTTTTAAAACAGATTATCTTTCAAATAACTTTTCCCCCTTGCCATACTTTCCCTAGGATTATATCATTCATCCCTTTTTAATCAAAATGTTTTCTTTGACATAACTTGAAGTTTTGTTTCAGGCTTTCAAAATTGTAGCTTTAAAAAAATAAAAAGTATAGCTTTAAATGCATTTAGTATACTTAAACATTAGTACATTTAAAATATGAGTTTTAACACTTCATTAATAAGTTATAGAATAGAAATTTCTTTTTATAATTATCAATATTTGGATTCAAGTAAAGTGAATACTTTTCTATATTTTAAAATTTGAAAACCTCATTAAAGTGTCAAAATCCTCAATTTTAGATGTATAATTCAGAGTATTCCAACACTTAAATTTACTTTGGATATGTTTATTATAGTATAAATTCTAACATTTAAAATACCAGAAAATGAGATACTGTGGTCAGTTCTCTCAAGATAGTAAAATTATTAGAATGGATAAATACATTTATTGAATTTAAAAATGAATTCCCAGAAAACAAAGCATTATCTTTCTGCATGGACAATGAATTTATAATTTCTGGTTTATATTTCATTGCTATTATTTTTTATCCAAAATTTGTTTTAATCTCATTTAAAAGTTATGTTGTAATACATATTTCATTCATTCAACAAATAATCCAGATAAAAATACATATTTAATTAGTTATTTTATTTATTCATTTAATGAATAATTTTTAATGATTGTCCACAGTGTGCTAGTCACAGGCACTGGGAGTACAACTGTCAGCCAAGCAAAATCCTTGCTCTTACGGAGCTTACATGCTTGTGAGGGTTAGAGGCAAGAAACAATACATAAATTAAAGATAGGCTTCGTCAGATAATCGTAAGTCCCATGAGAAAAAAAAAGCAAGGAAAAATAAAACAATTTTAAGTAGGGTAGACAGGGTAGGCCTCACAGAAGTGATATGTGTAAAAAACATGAAAGAAGTGAGACAACAAGCCCTAACAAGACCAGAGGCCTTGAGGTAGGACTGTGCTGGCATGTTTCTGAAACCGCAAGGAGACCAATGTGGCTAGAGCAAAATATGAGAAGAGTGGTAGAAAATAAGATACTGAACAGCTAGATTTCATAGGGTCTTGTAAACCATGGTTAAAGACATTGGTTTTTATAAACTATTTATAAAAAAAAAAAAAAAAATGGGGATGAGCACTGAGTGTTATGTGGAAACTAATTTGACAATAAACTATTTATAAAAAAAAATAAATAAAGACATTGGTTTTTATTCTGTATAGGATGAGTCACTGAATGTATTAAGAAGAGTAAGAGGAGTTTATTAACCTTTTAAAAAGTGTCAATCTTAAGAATTAGTTGCTGTGTTAAGACAAGACTATAGAAAGGGGAGTATGTAAGTAAGGAAATCAGTTAGGAAGCTAATGTGGTAATCAAGGTCCAAAGTTATATTGATGCAATTTTCTTGGAGAGTGAGAAAGTGGATGTATAGAACAGTATACTAAGATGAATGCTTAGTTGAGTATATGACTCAAGAGAGGGAGAAGGGAAATGATGGTATGTATGTTGTGGTGATTATAATGATCTATAAGGAGAGACTTGAAAATATGAGGTGAGTGAGGAATGAAAAGATGTTATCATCAGTGGATTGTGGACCCCAAGAATTGTGGGGTTGGAGAAAGAAAGGAGCCAGAATAATAGGAAATAGGATTCTTGAAATTAAAATATTTGCTATTTTCTGCTTGGTTCTAGAGAGAAAATCTCTTTTAGAAAATACACATTTTCTCCCTCAAGCTAAGAAGTGCGAAATGAGATGTACTACTGAACAAGATATTTCCCTTGTAACATGGAGTAATGACATAATCCAATCAGGGAATTAGCACCGTCTCTATTTAAGACCATCATTCTTGGCTTTTAGCAGCTAGCTGGTTTAAAATTAGTATTCGAGTATCCCAAGAAAACTCTCAGACTGCTTCTTAAATGGACTTTGATGTATGCTATTTTCATAGGAATATTTGCTTGTAACTTCCTTAAATAATCTGCCCTCACACTTCATTCTTCTTTTCCCTTAGATGTGTGGTCTTCATTAATAGTTATTGTATCTACATGTGTTTGAAAGAGGTCATTTTTATGTCAAACTGCTGAAAGGGAGCATTCATAAGAATTTAGGTCAAACTGCAGAAAAAGAACAGTGGCAAAATATAGTAAAATAAATTTACTATGGAAAGTAATCCCAGGAGGAGTTTTATAATGTCTTTACCTTAAACTTAATACTAACTTGAGAGAAAAGGCTACAAAACAGTTTTGAATTTTGAAACTTCATTTACCTATAATTTTAACTTGGGTTTATATAATTCCTTTCTCTATTGACAATTCTAAGAAAGCAGTAGTACTTTGAGAGCTAAAGTGGGCTTTAAAAGGGTTTGACAAAAGTTTCTGTTCAGTTAGTTATACTTAAAACTTAATAGCAACTTGGTGTGTAAGATAAGCCTTACTGACAATATCGTGCTAAGATTTTGTTGGCCGTTTAGCTTGAAGAAATCCACAAATGATTTCCTTCAAAAATAATAAAATTTGATTCATAGTATGAAATACTAAAAACTTAACATAATACAAAGGCATAGTTGTATGTTTAATAAAAAGATTTGCTTTTCCTAATTCTTTGTACACACAGACACACAGTGTTTCCTGGATTTGCAAGTAAGTTGCAGATAACAGGACATTTCATCCCCACACATCTCCTAAGAATAAGGAGTCTTCTGCATAAGCATAATACCATCATCACATTAAGATAATTAGTAATTTCTTCATTTCCTAAAATATTTAGTTCAAAAATCAGATTTTTTTATTGTCTCCAAAATGTGCTTGTAATTTTTTTTTCTAAATCCAGTTAGGGCTCATGCATTGCATTTGGTGGTTGCATTTCTTTAGGTTCTTGGTTTTGTTTTCCATAACATTGAGTTTTTTGAGAAATGACAGTTTATTTAAAAAATATCCCACATTCTGTATTCTGTGGTTTTTTATTCAAGGTGGGTAATAATACTGTTCAAATAATCTGTATGTCCTTACTGATTTTTCTTTTTCACTTTTTGTCCTGTCAATTACCAAGAAAGATTTTCAAGATACCACTTTTCTCAATTTTTATATAATTATTTGGTTGATCTTTAGATTATTTAATTTCTCTCTTAAAGTTCATCTTTTTCTGAATTAAAAAGATGTAGGGCCACCTGGATGGCTCAGTCAGTTAAACATCCGACGCTTGATTTCTACTCAGGTCAGGATCTCACTGTTCATGAGATTGAGACCTGCATGTGGACCCTGCCTGGGATGTTCTCTCTCCTCTCTCTCTGCTCCTCACCCTTGTGTGCACTCTCACTCTCTCAAATGAACTTAAAAAATACTTATAGTAATTATTATAAAGTCCTTGTCTGTTTATTCCAATATATGTTTTATCTAGATCTGTTTCTTTTGGCTGTTTTTTCTTTTGATTATGGATCTTTTTTTTTTTTCTGCTTCATTATATGTCTGGTAATTTTTAAAAATATATACTAGCATTGTGTTTAGAAGAAACTGACATAAAAACTAGTTTTCCCTAGAGAGGGCATGCTTTTGTTTTGTTTTTTCCCTCTGACAGGCTGCTAGGATGAAAGACGGAGCACTTTGATACATCAGGGGTTTAACTGAGTTGAATCTGGATTACATAGTTGCATTTCACCTCTGTCTTCAAATGCTTTGAGGGTGAGTCCTGTTTTATGTATATTACAGGCACATTCCTCTAGCAAGACTCTGAGACCTAAGTCCACAGAAGACTGCAAAGAATTTTCTCTGCTTTTAGTCGCACCCCAAGCCTCTAGTACTGCCCCTGCTTTTTTCATATTTGAAAATCAAGACCTATGGGGGGTGGGAGTGGGGGGTGCAGGAGTAAAACAGGGAGAACAATCTTCGCATTTGGGTTTCTTAAAGATTCCAGTCTGTCACACCATTCTAAGCAACCATTAAAAGCTCTGCTGGTTTCCCTTTAATCAAACAAAATCCTTCTACCTAGAATACACTATCCTTTGCTGCCCATATACTTTTTCAGCAAATGTACAAAGTACATTTTAATGTTTAATTTTAATGTTTTTTAGAGTATATAGTTATTTTCCCCCCTAGCTACAGCATAATCCGGGGCCCGTTGTGATTTTCTGTATCCTAATCCAAAACTAGTTTTATGTCCTGTATTTTGGATTTATTTGAGTGTTTTCTCATGGAGCCATTTAACTACTTTTCCAGTCTTCTTTATTTCTTATAAACTGAAAAGTGAATCTAAAGTGTTGATTCAGGTAACATTATTTTTGCCAAAATATCTAGTAGGTGAAACTGCACACTTACTGCATTACATTAGCAGGTTCTTATTTTCAAGTTACCTACTAAATTTTGCCATTTGGTTAAGGTGATCCTTCCATTCTAAACTTATATTTTCCCTTTGCAATTAGCAAGTAATGTGTATAGGGACATTTTGGCTTATGGATCAATCCTATATCCTGATAGTCTTTCAGCTAACAGGTTTACTTCTGTTAATTAAATAAACTATTTCATTTGGGATTGCAGAATGATTTAAAAAAAAATTTAATGTTTATTTTTGAGAGAGAAAGAGAGAGCACGTGAGTGAGGGAGGGAGAGGGAGAAAGTGAGACACAGAATCTGAAGCAGACTCCAGGCTTTGAGCTATTAACCCATAGCCTGATGGGGAGCTTGAACCCCCAAACTACGAGATGATGACCTGAGCCAAAGTCAGTCAGTTAACTGACTGAGCCACCCAGGTACCCCGCAGAATGATTTTTTAAATTGTATCATTTTTTGTATTTCTTAGCTTCTGTAAATAAAAGCTTTTCTTTATGAACAGGGGATGAGTACATGTT